TCTCAGCTCACCAGCCCGGTACCGCGCAGCCTCCAACTGCCGTTCCATACAGGCGGGCGCGTTAGGGGGCAGGTTCCACTCGCGGGCTGCCGGGGGCACTAGCGAGGGCGGGTTATCCTTCCGCATCTCCACGGTTTTCGACTCCAACTTCAAAACCGACCTGGACGGCAGCCTGCCCCTCCGCTCGGGCGGGAAGCCACACGTGCGGCGCCTCCGGGCCTCCGCCCCTCCCGGGAAGACCCCGTGGCTCCACTTCTCGCGAGACCGGCGCCGGCGCCTGCCACCTGCATTTCCTCCGCCCCCCCCCCTCCCGCGACAGGTTTCCAGGGAGCCTTTGCCACTTCTCGCGAGGAAGAAAGAAACCTCGGCCGGGAAGACCCGAGACGACGTTTTCATCTCGCGAGAACTTGCTGGCGGCCATCTTGCGCCTGTCCGCAGACCCGGCCTCCGGTGGAGGTCACTGGCGGGCTGTGGCTGCGGTGGGGACGTTTGCTGACCATGTTGTCCCGGGTGGCAGTCTCCGCCGTCGGCGCCGCGGGTAGGGGGCGTAGAGCCCCGGCTGGGTTATCGGGGTGGCTGGGGGTCGGGGCTGGGACTGGGGCTGGGGTTGGGGGGGGGAGGCGGTTGCAGCAGCGCAGCGACTCTGGGCCTGAAGCAGGGCGATCGCCCGCGGATAACGGGAACGCCGTCCCGGGGTACCGAGGACGGAGCAGGCCGCATTTCTTCTTGATGGTTGCTGACCTGCGCCTTGTCTCTCCGCAGCTCCCTGTCTGAAGAACGCAGCCCTCCTAGGACCGGGGTGAGTGGGCCGGGGAACGCACGCCTCGGCCCTGTTGAGCGCCTTGCTCCCTTTCCTCCGATTCTTCTTCCCTTTAGGGCTTTCTTCCTAACTGGGGGGCGGGGGGGAGGACGACGACTGGAGGGGACGCTTAAAGCCTCCCCCCTGGTTCAAACTCTCGTAAGGTGAGTGAGAGAAGTAAAACTGCAAGTTGGGTTTTCTTGGGTAAGCTCGACCCCACTCTTGTGACCTTCAGCAAGTCACTGCTGTGAGTCGGTTACTAGGGGAAACCCAAGGACACATCTCGCCAAGTGAAACAGTGAAAGATGCTCTCTCTCAGTGTCTCGGCGGATCCCGACTTTTTGCTGCTGGATCGTGAGCCATTCGTTGGTACTGCAAGTTTTTAACTTGTCACTCCAAGATAATAAAAAAAATGACATGTTTACTCGTAAAGCTTGCAAACTTTGATAACTATGGCTTGAAGAAATGCCCCTAATTTATCTGTAATTCTTCTGCGAAAGCAATAAAGTGGAACAATAGCTTACTTCCAGATGGGGGAAAATAATAAGCTGGGGTTGAGCTCGGTGCACAGGGCACTGTGGTCAGTTCAGCACTTCAAGAAGAAATTTCTTTTTTTTTTTTTTTATAATGTGATACAGGTAGGAAATGAAATAACTATAGCAGAGACAGGTAAAAACCCAGGTTTTCTTCCTACCCTTATCTCCAGACTACATCAGCCAGACACTTCATTCAGATTATGTTTAGCCTTTCCACTACCATTTCTACTGTACTATGAGCAGTTAACTTTTGACAAAGGTTATTTCAGAAGCTTCTTAATCTTGTTCTTTCTGTCAGGGAGACAGAATTGTGAGGGAGCTGTGATTAATCTAAATACACTAATGCTATTTTCCATAGACAAGAAAAATTAGAAACAATGTATTGAAGTTCCAAGAATATAATGTAGCAGCTTACTTGAAAGGTAAACATTGAGCTAACTACCCAACACTGAAAGAGGCCTGTTACATAGTGATTAGAAAGCTCATCAAAGGAAATATTTAGAAATGCCAGCTTTTTGGCTTTTAAGGAGCCTCCAAAACAGAAGTCATATAATAGCAAACTGTTTACATAGAATTTTTGTAGGAACTTCACATATATTAACTTCAGTCCTCACAACAATTCTAATTTGCTTTGTTCTCATATTAGATAAGGTAATCGCAGATTACAAAGTAAGTTCTTTGCTCAAAATCAAATGATAATTGTAGGTCTTTAACTCGTTTATATCTCATTGCTACTAACAGGCACACAAAGTATGAAACAAGTGATCTGTAAGAGAGCAAGTCCTTTGAGCATCTTGATTAAATTATTATCATTGTCACTCCTGACCTATTCTCTTTCAAGTACAACAGTTAGAAAACTAAATCCTCATCCCCAATGGAAGAGCAGTGCTAATTGTATTTGTGCCTTCTTTGAAGAACAAGTTTTTAACATGTACAATTGCCTCCTGTAGGGTATTACAGACAAAAAGAATCTTTCACACTACGCAGCCAAGTTTTGCCCCTCTACCACCTCTTCCTGAATATGGAGGAAAAGTACGTATGGGGCTAATTCCAGAGGAATTCTTCCAGTTTCTTTATCCTAAAACTGGTGTAACAGGTAAGTAAGAATTTACCCCATATTTAATAGTATAGTTGAATGGTATCACTAAATAAAGTTAGCCGGTTTGTTGTTGGGTTTTTTTTGGGGGGGTTGTTTGTTTTGGGGGTTTTTTGGTGGTGATTCAATGTAAAAACTTTATTTGGTTACTCTTTGGAATTAAGTTTTTTGGAAGGTTTTTGTTTTGTTTTGTTTTGTTTTTGGGGGGGGGTCAGGTTGTGGGGCCTGAACTCTGGGCCTGAGTGCTGTCCCTCAGCTCTTCAGCTCAAGGCTAGCGCTCTACCACTTGAGCCATAGCCCCACTTCCAGCTTTTTTCTTTTTGTTTATGTGGTGCTGAGGAATCAAACCCAGGGCCTCATGCATGCAAGGCAAACGCTCTACCACTGAGCCACCTTCCCAGCCCTGGAAGTTTAACTTAATTTCATCACATCATTTCTATTGATAGGAGAAATTTTTTGTCTGCCATGTGGAATATATAGGATAAACAAAGCATGAGTAGCTATGGAAAAATACTGTCAAGAGGATAAAAAATAAGGCAATTGGGCTGGGAAAGTGGCTCGGTGGTAGAGCGCTTGCCTTGCATGCATGAGGCCCTGGGTTTGATTCCTCAGCACCACATAAGCAAAAAGAAAAAAAAGCCGGAAGTGGGACTGTGGCTCAAGTGGTACAGTGCTAGCCTTGAGCTGAAGAGCTGAGGGACAGTGCCCAAGCCCAGAGTTCAGGCCCCACTACCGGACCCAAAAAAAAAAAAAAGTAAAGTTCCTTTTCAGACATGACAACTTGTACTTCTCATTGTTGCAACGGGTCCACCTGTATCCTTATTTAAACCACTTATTTTTCCCCTTCCCCTCCACAAATTATACCGACATCAAATACAGTAAAAGCAGGGGTTATACCATGGGGGAGGGACATACAAAACAACAAAGAAATAATCTTATAAATGCGTTAGAAACA